CGGGATACGCCCAGAGTCACGGAACGGATTAAGTTCGTATCCCGAGGTACCACTGTACCAGTATTTGAGATGCCTAAAATCTTATTTGCACCAACCTAAGAGTGTTTGACTTACCTAAGAACCAATCCTAATAGCTTGTTTTAAAAAATAATTTCTTCTAAAAACTAATCAGCTGCATGCAGCTTTCTTAAATCATGGTGAATTTTAAATACTGTATTCTTATATGACTTAATTATAGCACTAATGCCCACTGGAAATGAAAAGCTGATTTTCCAATTTGACACACGGATTATTACCACAAAATGGGGATTATCTGGTTTTCTGAAGAAAGAAAGGTAAAGGGAATAGGACAAACCCCTAACCATTATAAAATGAGGCAAATTTAGGATTCAAATAAAACTTTACCCTCAACCAGCAATACCAGTTCATCAATTATTAAATAGAATTTAATAATTTATCACTTCTATTGGCAACTCCATGTCCAAAACTCTACAAATTATTTCTCTAATTTATTTCTAATAAAAAGTCAAAATAACGTGTTGTTGTTTTTTAATGTGCACAAAGATTTTTAATGGATTCAGCATAAACTATGAAGAAGCTCAAGGTCAACGTCTATAAGCCAAACAGATATCAAAACTTTTGAACCATTTGCTGACTCACTGAGACCCTAACATTTTCTTATTTTAAGCCTCAGTCAAACCTTTTAAGAATTAATGATGTGAACAGTGGTCAACATGGTGCTGAAACCAGAGATCAGTCTGAAACAAGGGAATCCTGCTTGGAACTGCTGCCTCAGTTATAATACTTTGAGTAATTTTGGTCAGTTCCTTCAACCTAATATATAACAGAATTCATGTGGGAAAACAAAAAAGAACATAGAACTTGCCTGGGGAGAAAGGAAGAGATATAAAATATGCAGTAATAAATATCAAATGGATGTCTGTTAACTACTCTTAATAGAAAGCAATCATGATATACAAATTTCAGATTTTTAGTTGCCTGATAGCGAAAAGCATTTACATCCATGTATATCCCACCCTTTAACAAACATACAGAAGGATCCTCATGATTTCTTAATGGCTTGACATGTCAGATGTCACTGAATTATTAGTCTTAATGAAATATTAATTCTAGCTATACTATTAGGGTTTTTTTTTATTGTAAACAAGCAACTTGGTTTTTTTTATTTATCTTGCTTATAACATACTAGTTCTTTAATTAAAAATAAGCAGCAAAAATGCCTTAATACTACTATCCAAAAATGCACTTGTCACAATCAGAGGGAACTGAAATGCCTTTAGTTATTGCTAGCATATATTTTTTCTTATCAGTATCATTAAAGCACTGATATTACCTTAATGAACTTTTACTTTGGACTAACTGCAGTCTACACTTTTTGTATTTAAAAATGAGTATTTTAAATTAGTAAGAGACCATTTGGGTCATTTTTAATACCTATCTTTTTTAACCATGTTTACAGAATAGGGTATGCAATCACCCTAAAATAATTAGAGCATCATAAAGTCCAATAAATAAAATAATTGGTACAGATTTAATTTATTGAAAAATAATATGCCTACATGATAGGAAATATATAGCTAGTATACATCATCTAGTCTCCAAGTATAATCACCTTTGTGTCTGCCTCTAAAATTATTTCCCCACTCCCTCACCCCTAAAGTAAACCTAGTTTAAATAAAGGATAACTTTATTTTGCTGTTTCATACAAAGTATCTGCCAGAGTTTAAACTTCACCCAAAGTTCTAAAAAATAATTCATACACAGAGTCTTTTTGTACTTTTCCAACTGCTAACTTTAAATTGATTTTTAAACTGACAACCTGTTAGTGAAACAGGGAACAGTATACAGAAGTCCTCATTTAACAGCCATTCATTCAGTGACCATTCGAAGTTACAATGGCGCTGAACTAAGGACCCTTCTTTTGTGCCAATGCAGCCAGGGCTGTCTTTTGTGCACCAGTGAAAGGAGCCAGGCATGTGAAAGAAGGCCCCAGCTACATTGGCACAAAAGAAGGACCCTTCAAGCCAAGTCCTTCTTTCACAAAAGAAACCCGTAGGCAGGGCACGAACAGAATCCGGGGGGGGCACAAGAGAAGCCCTGGCTGCACTAGTGCAAAAGACGACTCCGGCTGGTACAATGACGCATGGTGTAGCGGGTGCGACAGTGGTAGGCAGGGCTGGGCACTGGGGGAAGCTGGCAGGAGTGGGTACATGGGTAGCCAAAAGGGCAGAGATGGGGGGCAGATAGGCGGGGGCATTCAAGAGGAGGCACTCTCTTATCTTACTGAGGCTCAGGGCTAGGCGGAACCAAGCCAGGAATGGCTTGGATTGCGGGGGGAAGTCTTTGCCTAATGACTGGTGGGATTCAGTTAACAATGGGGACTGCCAGGACTGCCATCACTAAATGCAATCATGTGATGTTGCACTTTATGATGGATACATACACGATCACACATACCCACAAACTTAAGCTTTTCATAACTATACCCTTTCTTTCCTACAAGATGTCAAGGAGGCTTCCATTCAATTCTTAGGAAGCTTCCCACCTAGGAAATTTTTAGAATCAGAGTTGTTTTGTTTCAGCCCTCATAACATTCAAGCTATTTGACCTTGCCGCAAGATACGATGACTTTCATTTGAAGGAAATCAGCAGGAATGTATTTCCCTATTTCTCTATCAACAAAGATTAACCTTTAAGGTGATAATTTCATGCCAAACATAGACCTGATGCTAAAATGAAATGGTTCACGATAATTTGCCTCCACCATGTGTACCTTAAGCTACCCAGATACAATCTTCTCATCTAACATGTCATATTGCTGGATCAACTGTGTGGTTGAAGACACTGAAAAATGGTAGTTCACCTCCTTATATTAAGATTGTTTCCAAGAAGTGAAACTATAGAATTATTTTCAACCTCATGGAAGCTGTGAGGCATCAGAGTGCCTATTCACAATATACTTGAAGCCACTGGGAAACATCATCAGGATGGCACCCAGCTCTATTTCTCCCTGTCATTTGTATCAAGTAAGGTTCTACAAGCAGAAGATTAATTCTGAGTAGAAAAAAGATAATACATTTAAACTGAATTTCAGCAAAATTGAGGCTTAATATGTAGATTGTTCTAGCTCTGGAAATTAACCTGACAGCTTGCTCTAAAAGGAATTATATACCCCTAAAGGGGCAACATTATTTAAAGCACCTACAAAAAGAATTACAGACCATTTTGCATTTTTAATGTACTCACCTTGAAATCTGCAAGCTTTGTACAATGATACAAATTACTTAAATAAATATTTCATATTTGTATCAACTAAACGTTACCATATTCACTGAAAAGAGTTTGACCACTGGAAACCATGGTTATATTTATCTTCTACTATGATAAATCAAAAGCACACAGTATACAAAACAACTCAGTTGTGGACCCTACCAGTCAAAGAATTTAGGCTGGCGGGGTCTAGGAAGAGGGCCTTTTCTGCCATGGCCCCCGCCCTGTGGAACAACGTACCACCTGAGATATGGTCTGTCCCCACTCTTATGGCCTTCTGGAAGAGTGTGAAATCTTGGCTCTGCCAGATGGCCTGGAGGGGCCCGCATTGTTGGAATTGGCTGGTGGGATAATTGATTCTGCTCCCCCCGTCATCTTGAATTGTATATAGTCTTTTATATAGAATCATTTTTTAGCTAATTTAATACGGATATTTTTACTGTTTTTATTGTTTGGGATTTTAATTGTGAGCTGCCCAGAGACACCCTCTGGGGGAGATGGGCGGCATACAACTTTAAGAAATAAATAAATAATAAATAAAACTCCATGAACAAGATGTCAAGGGTACTCCTTGATCCACTTTGTCAATGGAGAATCAAGTACCATTGATCCTGAAAGAGCTGTATTTGTTACCTGATCATTTCTAAGCCAAATTCAAAGTTCTGTTGCTCTACAAATTCCTAAATGACAAAGTTGAGTACCTGAATGTTCTATGAGTTGTCTCACATTTTCAGATGGGCCAGGGAAGAATAAACATTTATCTTCTTGTCACACCATTATGGGCAACATATATAATGATACCACAAGATAGATCCTTTTTTTTTAATTATTGAAACCTGGTCAAGATTCAATTAATTACCGAGGTATTATGAGTACCAACAACTATTGCAGTGAATATGGCTGGATAATCTGTTGAGTGTTCATTATGTTTATATTAATTAAAATTTGTATTGTGGATTATTTTTAATACTGTTAATGAACTCCAAAATATACTTACTGAAAATATATGAATAGAAATAAAAAGTGAATAAATTTCCAACATTGTAAGCTTTCCACAGATAAAGCCATATAACAGAATTTAGGCACATTTGAGTAGTTATATATCTGTAACTTCTACAATATTTTTATGAGCCACTGAAATTCAAACTCACATGGAAGGAGGAATGCAATCTGTTTTGTATTTTATACTCAGTATTTTTTTTTACAACACATTGAAAATCCTGGTCCTTTACTATATCCTATGATTTCTTACATTAATGAATAGTGGAGTAAAAGCCTAGCATTTTTTTTCACAGACCTTCAACAAAAGTAAAAACAGAAAATAGGATAGACTGCAAGTCTGATCACTGCTCAGGTTTCTAAGTACCAGAATACTAATAGGTCTTACTTTTTATAAGCAATTAGAATTGTGATTAGCAATCACTTAAAGCAGTTCATCAAGTTAATCACAATGCTTATCACAGGAAATATATTTCTATTTTTGGAGTGAACAAGCCAGAATTTTTCAGGATTAGATGGATACATTGTTATGACAGCCTGTCCCCTACAGCATTTTTTCCAAAAAATCTTTTCCCCTCCTCTAAGATTTTCAAATAAAATTTTCCAAAGGAAAATATTGTGCATAATTTAATTGAAAACAAAGATTTCCAAGTACAGTGGTACCTCGGGTTATGAATGCCTCTGTTAACGAACTTTTCGGGTTACGACCAGCTCCGGCCGCAAA